GTGTACTATTTATGCTGCCAAGTGTTTCCACTTAAAAGCTTACAAGCAGATCAACACAAATCCGCGTGTGTTTCGGTTTTTCACCTTTTATGAGCAAACATCAAAGCAGACCGTTGTCATCCTTCCTTTATGCACCAAAACAACGATTTAATTCAACTCAGACGTAAAGATGCAGCTCTTATTTGAGTTTATGCAAGTAAATCTATGGCTCCACATCAAGAGGAATTTGAGATGTTGGCTCATGATTGCATTCAGAACCAAAACTTACATCTGAAAAAAGCAGAACTCACTCAATGCTCGCTGTTTTAAAGGTGATTAAAGGCTCACAAACAGTGGGGTTGTTCTGTGTGTTTTCTTCTTTTCTGAGCTTTGAAGAAACAATGTCTGGTTCATCTCCTCGGCTCTCTGATCAAGAAAAACTGACCGAAAACAAGTTTGAAACAGCCACAAGTTAATCGTTCCGCAGTCACTTCATCAGCCTGGTGAACAAATAGCCTGGAAGTCGAGTCAGTCTGTGGGAGTTTGAGGAAAATGTGTTTCACTCTTCAAAGCTCTGCAGATTTCAAGTCACAGCAGAAATGAAGGGGTTTGCTTTGGAGTGGGAGTGAAATTGTTTCAGGGTCGGGAAACATAATTGAAGGAGAATAATAACTAAAAATAAATGTACTAATAACTGTGGTCAGGTGAGGCACACAGCGCCCACCATGACGCTGCGCCCATTAAAAGGCTTTTCATGTAGAGATGTAACTGATTGGCCGCAGACGTCTAAGTGCTTCATAGGAACTTTGTTTGTTCTTTGTAACCTGTGCCATGGAGCAAAACACAACGAAGCCACTGCTCAACATTTCAGACTTCCTCAGAACAGTTTTATTACGTTTCTCAGAATCATCATAACTGACTAGATAAGTGGTTTAACTGTCGCCATTACTGACGTCCAAGTTATTGAACTTTCTCTGTATTCATGTTCATCTGCCGGGTAATCAAACCAAATCAAATCAGGTTTATTGTCATCTCGCTGTACACACACAGTATTACAGGAAAGATGAGACAGCGCTTCTTCAGGATTATTCAATCATAAAGTTTTGCAAAATGCACGTCTGGGATCAGACACTAAACGTTCTCTGTCGTTGTCTCCTGAAGGGGGCGCTGCGTTCACGCACGCCGCCATCACATTGAACATGGCGAACCTCTTCAGGTCCTGGTGGGTCTTCAGGGACACAAAGACACACAGGATGCTGCCCAGAGCTGTCTGTCTGTCTGTCTGTCTGTCTGTCTGCATCCCCTCCAGCTGTCTGTCTGTCTGGGATGCTGTCATGGAGCCATGTTTCTGTTAAAGCAGACACACAGCAGTCCCTCCACTCTCTGAGGGTTTCTCTCAGCAAACGTCCAGCTTGTTGTGGAGGGAGCGGACATTAGAGAGCAGGAGGACGGTCCTGCTGGTCTGGAGGTTTAGCCTTTAGCTTAGCATGGATCCCGGCTCTCTTCCTCCTCCTGTGTTTACGTTCGTACCGTTGGCGCTTCCTTCTCTCACGGGTAACTGCCGGCGTCGTCTCCAATAGGACTCCATGTTTCCGCAATTAAAACGCCGTTCACTGTCCTCAAGTCCAGCAAAGTCTCCCGGTCGCAAGTTTTGCTGAATGAACGTCTTGGATGGACAAGACACCTCAAAGCGTTCACTTTTGTTGTCTCCTGAGGGGGGCGCTGCGTCTATGTGCTCCGTCATCACCATGGCCACCAATAATGACCAATAATGAGTTGAATTTAAGACCTTCTTGATGCAAATGAACACCGTGTTTAAGGAACCTTTAGTGTCTGATCTTACAGAGTCACACATTTATGATCATATTCATGTAACTGTGATATAATAAAACTTTCTTGATACCTTCAGTGAGAGACACTGCTGTGGACAAACCTGACTCACAAGGAAAATCACAAGGAAACCCTTGTTGGCTGGTCGTTGCT